TTGCATGGGAAAGTGTGTGTGTGAGTGTGTGTGTGTCTGCAGGCCTGGTCTTATGACTCCATCTCCCATCCATGAGAGCCAAACACAAACAGTCATTTTATTTTTGCTAAGGGGAACAAATGCATCCATTCAACTGCAGGAGAGAAAAGCAGGATGAGACGGACAGTGAGGAATAGTGATTGTGAGAGAGAATAAGAGAACAAGAGAGAATAAATGAACATATGTGTGAGAGAGAATCTTTTAGTTAAAATTTTAACCCAAAAGTTGGGTTAGTCCAACCCAGCATTTTTTAGGGTGTGTGATGCAAATCTGAATTTTCAGCATCATTACTCCAGTCTTCAATGTCACATGATCCTTCAGAAATCATTCCAATATGCTGGTTTAGTGCTAAAGAAAAATGTTTAAAACAGTTGTGCTGCTTAATATTTGTGGTAAGAATATTTCAGAATTTTGTTCAATAAAAAGTTTAAATGAACAGCTTTTTTATTATCTATCTATCTATCTATCTATCTAGGACATGGCACTATTGACACTAAGTGACTAGTGACTAGTGTAGTTGTAAAGAGAAAGAGCATGATGGATGTTTTCTCTGTTCTTTATTGTCTTTGGCTATCTGGACTCTGTGTCCAGATGGGACATGCTCAATTGAGCCATGATAAGACACCAATTACTGACAGGAGGACAGAATGTTGTGCGCTGCTGTGCTGCCACTCTCCCTAAGAAAATACTAGCTTACTACTTACTGAATTCTGTGCAGTATATTGCATATGCATAGTTGTCACATGTTCATCAAAATAAAAATAGTTATTGTGCAACAGTTGGGACAGGGTCTATTGGCTCTGTTGTATAATGAATATTTTAGCAAATATAGTAGGTTATCTGGGTATTTTGTGCATAAAATATATGTTCGTACTGCATACTATACACTGCAGAACAAGTCAGAACAGAATGGTAGTATACCATTCCAAACACAGCATCTCTTTCATTCCCCCAGTAGAGGGCAGTGCTGCATTTTTTCTCAACTTGTTATTTTGTCTTTCCTATCTCTCCCTCTTTTTCTCCCCCATCAGGGGGTAGTGCTGTATTTCTCTCTTCCGCCTCCAGCTGTCATCGGTCCTTTCTCTGTGGGTGGAGGGATGTTTGTTTGTGCTCCTAATATGTTGTGTAATGTCATGTCAAATGTTCTTACCTCCTCATAGCCCAGATGTCTTTGTTTTAACCCTGTAAAACATAAAAGAGCAGTTTAGATGGACCACAACAGGTTAACTGTCCAGATACACAGTGTTCCCTGCAGTACACTTCATGTGTGAGAAATGGGTTGACTATTTGTAATGGTTTTATAAAGATATTTAAAGACATTTTCAAAGGAAAGAGCCTGGATACACTGAAAAAAAAAGACACACACACACACACACACCCACACACACACACACACACACAAACACACACACACACTAAAAAATA